ACACTTTTCTCCATGAATGTTTCACCTTCTGTTTCATGGAGACGAGAACAGAGCAGAGTCCAGGTCGGATCTGTGGAGAGGCGACCCCACTCACACTCACAATGTTTGTTTTCTGAGGTGTTTTTGACTCTAAAAACACCTGTAACTGAATAAATGTAAAGTCAAGCTGTTTAAAGTCACACTGTGGAACATTCCAGACAGAGCAACGACATCTCCATAGAAACAAGCAGTGATGGATACTCAGTCAGAAAGTTACACAGTGCAGCTTTTAAGGTTCTGTATCATCAGAGCTGGAGTTGTGTTTTGTTTCTGTCACATGTGAGCAGATTTCAGCACATTTGGTCTTGACTCGGTCTTGTCTCGGTCTTGACTCGGTCTTATCGTCTTGTCTCGGTCTTGTCTCGGTCTTGGTCTTGTCTCTGTCTCGGTCTTGTCTCGGTCTTGACTCGGTCTTGTCGGTCTTGGTCTTGACTCGGTCTTGACTCGGTCTTGTCTCGGTCTTGACTCGGTCTTGACTCGGTCTTGTCTCGGTCTTGACTCGGTCTTGTCTCGGTCTTGACTCGGTCTTGTCTCGGTCTTGACTCGGTCTTCTCGGTCTTGACTCGGTCTTGTCTCTCGGTCTTTGACTCGGTCTTGTCTCGGTCTTGACTCGGTCCTGTCTCGGTCTTGACTCGGTCTTATCCGGTCTTGTCTCGGTCTTGTCTTCGGTCTTGTCTCGGTCTTGTCTCGGTCTTGACTCGGTCTTGGTCTCGGTCTTGTCTCGGTCTTGACTCGGTCTTGTCTCGGTCTTGATCCGGTCTTATCCCGGTCTTGTCTCGGTCTTGACTCGGTCTTGTCGGTCTTGTCTCGTCTGTCTCGGTCTTGACTCGGTCTTGTCTCGGTCTTGTCGGTCTTATCTCGGTCTTGTCTCGGTCTTGACTCGGTCTTGTCTTGTCTCGGTCTTGACTCGGTCTTTCTCGGTCTCGGTCTTGACTCGGTCTTATCCCGGTCTTGCTCGGTCTTGTCTCGTCTTGTCTCGGTCTTGACTCGGTCTTGTCTCGGTCTTGACTCTCGGTCTCTTGTCTCGTCTTGACTCGGTCTTGGTCTTGTCTCGTCTTGACTCGGTCTTGTCTCGTCTTGTCTCGGTCTTGACTCCGGTCTTACTCGTCTCTTGACTCGGTCTTGTCTCGTCTCGGTCTTGTCTCGGTCTTGTCTCGGTCTTGACTCGTCTTGTCTTGGTCTCGTCTTGACTCGTCGTCTTGTCTTCTTCTCTCGGTCTCGGTCTTGTCTCGGTCTCTATCTTCGGTCTTATCGTCTCGGTCTTACTCGGTCTTGTCTCGGTCTTGACTCGGTCTTGTCTCGGTCTTGTCTCGACTCGGTCTTGTCTTATCGGTCTTGACTCGGTCTTGTCTCGGTCTTGTCTCGGACTCGTCTTGTCTCGGTCTTGACTCGGTCTTGTCTCTGTCTCGGTCTTGACTCGGTCTTGTCTCGGTTTTACTCGGTCTTGTCTCGGTCTTGACTCGGTTTGTCGGTCTTGACTCGGTCTTATCGGTCTTGTCTCGGTCTTGACTCGGTCTTGTCTCGGTCTTGACTCGGTCTTGTCTCGGTCTTGTCTCGGTCTTGATCTTGTCTCGGTCTTATCCGGTCTTGTCTTGACTCGGTCTTGACTCGGTCTTGTCTCGGTTTTGACTCGGTCTTGTCTCGGTCTTGACTCGGTCTTGTCTCGGTCTTGACTCGGTCTTGACTCTGTCTTGTCTCGGTCTTGCCTCGGTCTTATCCGGTCTTGTCTCTTTCGGTCTTGTCTCGTCTTGTCTTCTCGGTCTTGTCTCGGTCTTGACTCGGTCTTGACTCGGTCTTGTCTCGGTCTTGTCTCGGTCTTGACTCGGTCTTGTCTCGGTCTTGTCTCGGTCTTGACTCGGTCTTGACTCGGTCTTGACTCGGTCTTGTCTCGGTCTTGACTCGGTCTTGACTCGGTCTTGTCTCGGTCTTGTCTCGGTCTTGACTCAAACCTTTATTAGCTGTCAGAATACTTTTACTTTTTACTCTTTAAGTACATTTTTAAACATGTACATTAATACTTTTACTTTGTATTACATTTGTATTGAAGTAATAGTACTCTTACTTGAGTAAAAGTTGTGTTTCCTCTTCCCGCCGTGAGTCTAAAGAGACAAAATCTTTATGTGACGATCTGAAATTATTTGAACATTTGTGTTTTTTGCCGCTGCTTTGTCTTTTGTTTGTCTCTTTTGAAAACATCAGGTTTTGTGACTTTTTCATGTTTTGTTCTTCAGATTCTCTTCAAATTCTGACTCAGATGTTCCGTTTCAGCAGGTACTTGAGTGTTTTCTCAGCCCACTGCTTTGTACTTTTACTCGAGTACTGTTATTGTGGAGTAACATCACAAACAGAGTGAGAGAAACAGGTGACTCGTCGCAGCTGTGCAGACGCTCTGTAAATGATTGTACGTGATAAGGCGGCTCTACTTAAACCCCGAGAGCGCGTGGAGCTCTCGTGGAGAACCATGGCTCCTCGCGCTCCTCTGACCCTCGTGACCCTCGTGACCCTCGTGACCCTCGTGGTCCTCAGCGTCCAGGAGAAGGTGTTTGTCCAGAGGGCGGGTCAGGCCTTCAACAGCCGCAGCTTCAGCTCCGTCCTCACCGTCGCCAACGGGGAGCAGTTTGGAGACTGGACGTGGCCCGAGATGTGTCCAGAGAACTTCTTCGCGGTCGGCTTCAGCGTCAGGGTGAGGGGAGGGGGAGGGGCCTCGTACTCTTCTCTATTTTGTCTCGAAACGCTCCTAAACCGCGGCGTCTTGTGGAGGCACTTCTGGTTAAATGGGATTCTGGTCATTTCAGCTAAAATATGACACGAAGGTGAAGAGAGAGAGGAGAGAAAAGAGAGGAGAGAGAAGAGAGAGAAAGAGGAAGAAGTGAGAGAGGAGATAGAAGAAAGGTGAGAGAGAGAAAAGAGAGGAGAGAAAGGAGAAGAGAAGAGAGAGGAGAGAAAAGAGAGAGGAGAGAGAGCGAGGACAGAGAGGAGGAAGAGAGAAGAGAGAGAGGTAGAGAAAAAAGAGAGAGGAGAGAGAGCAAGGACAGAGAGAGAGAGAGAGAGAGAGAGGAGAGAAAAAGGATAGAGGAGAGAGAGGAGAGAGCGAGGAGAGAGAGAGAGAGGAGAGAAGAGAAAAAAGAGAGAGAAGAGAGAGAGGAGAGAGAAGAAAGGTGAGAGAGAGAAAAGAGAGGAGAGAAAGGAGAAGAGAAGAGAGAGGAGAGAGAGCAAGGACAGAGAGAGAGAGAGAAGAGGAGAGAAAAAGGATAGAGGAGAGAGAAGCGAGATGAGAGAAGAGACAGGAAAGAGAGAAGAGAGGAGAGGAGAGAGAGAAAGGAGACAGAAGAAAGAAAAGAGAGGAGAGAGAATAGAGAGAGAGAAGTGAGATGTGAGAAGAGGGAGGAGAGAGAGGAAAACGAGAGAAGAGAGGAGAGAAAGGAGAGGAGACAGAGTCAGTCTGTGTGGACGTGGACAGAGCAGATTCTCGTGTCAAAGTCAAACAGTTTTATCTCGATTCATTTTCACTCATTTAGAGCAGCGTCTGTGGCTGCACAGAAAGAATAAATAACTTACATTATTTCCATTTTAATTATAATTATAGAGTCTGAACAATGTTTTATTTTGAAAAATGACTGAACTTTCTCCGTCACATCTGTGTGTGACTCAGTCTTGTAAGACGTTTGTCTCGGTCGTGTCTGGATATAAACGTGTTGTGTGTGTGAGTGACGTCGTCAGAGGAGCCGATGGGCAGATTGGCACCTTTGGCTCCGTCCGTCTGCCCCAGGGCAGCTGTGGCCACAATAGTAGTTCACCACCACTGAGTCTGGAGTGACTGAATAATGAAAGTGTAAAGTGTCTCTGAGTCCTGATGTCTGCCTGCAGGTGGCGCTCACTGCACTCACTGCTGCTTCGTTAGTAGAAGCTCCTTCCTCAGTCCCTGAACTGAGTTTGGGGTAAAAAGCTTTTGCACCAGTGTTGAACATTTTTCTCTCTTTTCCCTCGTCTTTATGAAGCAGCAGAGTCACACGCTGCGTCAGGAGTCAGTGACGTAACCACACGACTCGACTCACGACTCGACTCTCCTCCGTCTGTGATATTTGTGATATTTGTGATATTTGTGATATTTGTGATATTTGTGACTTTCTCGTGATGTTAAAGTTGGAGCCGTGTGTGTTCAGGTGGAGCCAAACCAGTACGGCTCTGACGATACGGCTCTCAACGGGATCCGGCTCATCTGTGCCCAAGACGAGAGCCGCAGCTTCCTGTACACGGTGGAGTCGCACACGGGATAGTGAGTACTACAAATACACAACAAATACACCACAAATACACCACAAATACACCACAAATACACCACAAATACACAAAATACAACAATACACACAAATACACCAAACAAATACACACACAAAAATACACAACAAATACACAACAAATACACCACAAATACACAACAAATACACCACAAATACACCACAAATACACCACAAATACACAACAAATACACAAAATACACAAATACACAAAAATACACCACAAATACACAACAAATACACAACAAATACACAACAAATACACAACAAATACACAAAATACACCACACACAACAAATACACAACAAATACACAACAAATACAACAACACACAAATACACAAAATACACCACAAATACACAACAAATACACAAAATACACAACAAATACACAACAAATACACAACAAATACACCACAAATACACAAAAATACACAACAAATACACAACAAATACACCACAAATACACAAAATACACAACAAATACACAAAAATACACAACACAATACACAACACAAATACACCAAAATACACCATACACAAAAATACACAACAAATACACCACAAATACACAACAAATACACAACAAATACACAACAAATACACCACAAATACACAACAAATACACCACAAATACACAACAAATACACAACAAATACACAACAAATACACACAAATACACCACAAATACACAACAAATACACAATACACAACAAAATACACAAAATACACAAAATACACCACACAAATACACCACAAATACACAACAAATACACAACAAATACACTACAAATACACAACAAATACACAACAAATACACAACAAATACAAAATACACAACAAATACACAACAAATACACAACAAATACACCACAAATACACAACAAATACACCACAAATACACAACAAATACACAACAAATACACCACAAATACACAACAAATACAACACAAATACACAACAAATACACACAAATACACAAAATACACCACAAATACACAAAAATACACAACAAATAAATACACACAAATACACAATACACAACAAACAAATACACAACAAATACAAACAAATACACAAAATACAAATACACAACAAATACACAAAATACACAAAATACACAATACACAAAATACAAATACACAACACAAAATACACAAAATACACAAAATACACAACAAATACACACAAATACACAACAAAAATACACAACAAATACACAAAAATACACAAATACACAACACAAATACAACAAATACACCACAAATACACAACAATACACACACAAATACAAACAAATACACAACAAATACACCACACAAATACACAACACAAATACACAACACAAAATACACAACACACACACAAATACACAACAAATACACAACACAACAAAATACACAACAAATACACAACAAATACACACAAATACACACAAATACACAACAAATACACCAAACAAATACACAACAAATACACAACAAATACAAAAATACAAATACAACAAATACACAACAAAATACACACAAATACACAACAAAATACACCACAAATACACCACACACAATACACACAACAAATACACAACAAATACACAACAAATACACACAAATACACAAAATACACACAAATACACCACAAATACAAATACACAAACAAAACAACAAATACACAACACAAAAATACACAACAAATACACAACAAATACACAAAATACACAAAAATACACACAAATACACAACAATACACCACAAATACACAACACAATACACAACAAATACACACAAATACACCACAAATACACAACACACAAAAAATACACAACAAACAAATACACACACAAACAAATACACCACAAATACACCACAAACATACACAACACACAAAATACACAACAAATACACAACAAATACACCACACAAATACACAACACAACAAATACACCACAAATACACAACAAATACACACAAATACACAAATACACAACACAATACACAAAATACAAACAAATACACCACAAATACACCACAAATACACACAAATACACACAAATACACCACAAATACACACAAATACAAATACAACAAATACAAAAAATACAACAAATACAAATACACAACAAATACACAACAAATACACACAAATACACCACAAATACACAACAAATACACCACAAATACACCACAAATACACAACAAATACACAACAAATACACAACAAATACACCACAAATACACAACAAATACACAACAAATACACAAAAAATACACACAAATACACAACAAATACACACAAATACACAAAAATACACCACAAATACACAACAAATACACACACAACATACACACACAAATACACACAAATACACAACAAATACACACAAATACACACAAATACAAATACACACACACAACAAATACACACAAATACACCACAAATACACAAACAACAAATACACAACAAATACACACAAATACACAACAAATACACAAAAATACACAAATACACACAAAACAATACACACACACAAATACACCACAAATACACAACAAATACACAACAAATACAAAACAAATACACAAAATACACCAACAAATACACAAATACAAACAAATACACAACAAATACACCACAAATACACAACAAATACACAACAAATACACTACAAATACACAACAAATACACCACAAATACACAACAAATACACCACAAATACACACAAATACACAACAAATACACCACAAATACAACACAAATACACCACAAATACAACACAAATACACCACAAATACACAACAAATACACAACAAATACACACAAATACACAAAAATACAAAACAAATACACCACAAATACACAACAAATACACACAAATACAAATACACAACAAATACACTTGTGAATCATCTGCATTTTGACATATAAATAACCAATAAATACCAATAAATAAATAAAGATCTTGGAGGTGGGTTTAGTGTTTAAAGGAGGATAATTGATAAAGATAAAGACTGGAATTGAAAAGTTCAGAGTTGAAGCAGCTCCCACGTGGCCTTTGGGAGTGTTTGACTTTGACTAGAAGTAGAGTTTTGGGGAAATATTCACCACTACAGTATTATCAATTACCTAGAGTCATTAGTTCATTGATTGTTCTGAAGGTTCATATCAGTGACCTGAATCTGGAAACAACATCATTATTCAGCAAAGCAAACTGTGTTTATGAAGATTTAATGAGCAAATTAAACAGAAGCATTTAAATATGAAATATGCAAATGAGTGCAGATTATTATGTGTTGAGTCTAAAATGATCAATTAAGACATTCTGTGACATGTGCATACGACCAGGGAGAGAGGAAACGTTCGTTCGGTGGTGGTTTGACGTCTGAAGATTACGTGCCGGGACTTTCTGGAGAAAGTCAATTAGCTGAGTTCCAAATCCAAGTACAGTTGTGCCTTTTAATTTGTCTTGGTTACTTATTTAAAGGGACAGTCCAGAATTTTGGACATTTCCTCATGATCCAGAGAGTTGGAGACGTGTGGAGACACTTTTTAAAATATTCCATCCAGTCCTTGTATTTGCAGACGTCACTGGTGCCACTAAAAAACGTTTTACCCACTCCACAAAACACCCCTAACAAATCTATTATTACACCAGACTGTGCATGTAAATGTCTGTGTTACCCCTCTCCAGGCAGACGTTGCAGATTTGCAACACCTAAATTCCAACTACCTACTTACTCCACATCCATATTTTATGAGCTTTTTTTACTCAGGAGCCTTTTCTCCCGTCCAGGCTGATAAACGTGGACGATGCAAACTGTGCAAGAACAACTACACACAAACGGCCAGAAGTGCAAAATACTTTTTTTGTTTACAAAGGATAAAAAAGTCAGGATTGTATATTACTAACCCATATTATAATTTTCCCCAAATATCAGATTTTTCCTGATACTAAAAATTAATTTGAGCCTGAGAGGGTTAATAGTATAATGTCTGAAATAAAACTAACCTCGCATCACATGAATCGTTGCATGTTGAGGGACTATTTTATTATGCACTGTTTTATCAGTTGTATATTATGTAATAACTTAAGCCGCTCTGATGTTTTGTGTTATAAATTTTCTCTTCGTTCAGTTTCGGGGACTGGTCGGCTCCTCAGTACTGTCCGTCCGGGGTCCTGATCTCGTTCCAGCTGCGCGTGGAGCCTCACCAGGGAACGTTCGGGGACGACACCGCCGCCAACAACGTGCGGTTCCGCTGCAGCAGCAACCCGACGCTGGAGGGCGCGGGCATGACCTGGGGCGAGTACGGCCACTGGAGCCGCTCCTGCACCGAGGGCGGCATCTGCGGCATCGAGACCAAGATGGAGGAGTACCAGGGCGGGCTGGACGACTCCACGCTCAACGACGTGCGCTTCCACTGCTGCGCCAAGAACCCACAGGTCAGACTCAGGTCACAGGTCACATAGGTCAGACTCAGGTCACACATTAGGAAGGTTTTGGTTTTGGATGGTCTGAAAACTGAAGAATTTAAAGGTTCCCCGTGTCAGAGTCCTGCACAGGTTCGTTTCTGGAGATAAAATGAGGATTGAACAGACCGTTTGAATGCAGATTTGTCAGTACTTGAGCATAAAATAAATATTGGTAAACTCTCGAATCTGTCCAGTCGTCCATAAAATGTGCTGTGTGTATTTTATCTGTCAGAATCCATCCATCTGACTGGAGCAGGAGCTGTGAGTCAGACCTGTTCTCGGTGCATGTTGGGCTCCCCCAGGGCTGCCCTTTGTCACCGGTTCTGTTCATTGTTTTTATGGACAGAGGTTCTCGGGGCAGTCAGGGGTCGGAGGGTTCGGTTTGAGGACCACAGGATCATCTCTGCTGTTCGTAGATGATGTTGTCCTGTTGGCTTCGTCAGACCAGGACCTGCAGCTCTGGGGCGGTGTGACCCGAGTGTGAAGCGTCTGAGATGAAGATCGGCTCCTCCAAACCCGAGGTCGTGGTTCTTGACGGGAAAAAGGCGTCTTGTCGTCTCCGGGCGGGTGGAGAGTCTCTGCCTCAAGTGTTCTGGGTCTTGTTCTGGAGTGAGGGGAGGATGGAGCGTGAGATTGGCAGGTGGACAGGTGCAGCGTGGGCAGTGATGCGGTTGCAGTATCGGACCGTTGTGATGAAGAGGAGCTGAGTTTCGATTTAGCGTCAGTCTCCGTTCGTCCCCTCACCTCTGGTCATGACCGAAAGGATGAGATCGCTGTTTCCTCCGCAGGGCGTCTCCCTTAGAAACAGAGTGAGGAGCTCAGTCACACGGGAGGAGCTCGGAGTAGAGCCGCTGCTCCTCCACGCTGGAGGGACTATGTCTCTGGACTGGCCTGGGAACGCCTCAGGTCCCTCTGGAGGAGCTGAAGGTGAAGTCCGGGTTGAAGGAAGTCTGGGAGTCCCTGCTTAGACTGATGGATGGATGGTTAATATTTTGAATTATTTTTAAGAATCCGTGGCTCATTGTAAAGGGAACTTAGAAGGAACCAGCTCGGGCGTCTGTTCTGATGTCTCCTGGACGTGTCCCTCAGGAGGTGTTCATGTCCCACCTGGAGGAGACCCCGGGGAAGACCCAGGACACACTGGAGGGACTATGTCTGTGGACTGGCCTGGAAACGACTCAGGGTCCCCCCCGGAGGAGCTGGAGGACGTGTGTGTGGAAAGGGAAGTCTGGGAGTCTCTGCTCAGGCTGCTGCCTCCGTGACCCGACCCCGGATAAGAGGAAGAAAATGGATGGATGGAAATGAAATGAAACAGTTTCACTTTCTTCAGTACGAACATGAATTCAGACGCGACTCGACTGTCAAAAACACGTCATCACTTCACAGGATTTACTTATCGAGCAGAAGACTGGACTAAACCAGAACTGAACCATGACTGAGTATTGGGACGGGCTCGGAGGTGCTCCCATGTGACCGCGGGTGAAGGGCCGGTGTAGAACGACACTAAACCCAGACGTCGCCCGATCGCTCTTTGACACTCTGCTCCAAAGGCTCGGGGTTCTGTCTCTCAAGTCGAAGATTAGTCCTGGTTTAGTCCTGGTTTAGTCCTGGTTTAGTCCCGACCTGCCCCTGCTGGACTCTGATCTGTGTCCATCACCTGTTTTCTCTTTGGGGATATTGTTGCTTTGTCTGGAATGTTCCGCAGTAAGACTTTAAACTTAAACTCTAAACTTAAACAAACAGGCGGTGCATGTTACAGGTCAGATCTTTGCTTTTAAAGGATTTATTTAGCTCTATAATCACCTTGAACTGAAGAAAAAGAAAATAATATAGAAAAGTTTAATGTTGGAACCATCAAAAATAGAACAAAAAATGAACTTGAGAATTTTAACTAAATATAAAAACTCTTCTTCAGTGAGTTTGACATTTCTGTAACAAATGGTGTTTGTTTGTGACAGTGAGAAACGAACCAGAGAGAGAAGACTGAACACGCTCCTGAACACGATCTGCTCCTGACTCCACTGAGAATAAAAGTCTAACACAACAGAACTCACTGTGTTTTACCTCAGAGGAACAGAAGAGTTTGTGTTTAATATCGTAATAAAAGTTGTAATAAAAATACAGTTAAATTCGACCTTTTTCATTACAGCTGGAAGTGTCTCTCTGTAGGTTTGTGGAACTTCCGGTTAATGTTTTTGTGTATAAATGTGTGTGTAAATGTGTGTGTAAATGTGTGTGTAAATGTGTGTGTAAATGTGTGTGTGTAAATGTGTGTGTAAATGTGTGTGTGTGTAAATGTGTGTGTAAATGTAAATGTGTGTGTAAATGTGTGTGTGTAAATGTGTGTGTGTAAATGTGTGTGTAAATGTGTGTGTGTGTGTGTGTAAATGTGTGTGTGTAAATGTGTGTGTAAATGTGTGTGTGTAAATGTGTGTGTAAATGTGTGTGTGTAAATGTGTGTGTAAATGTGTGTGTGTGTGTGTAAATGTGTGTGTAAATGTGTGTGTGTAAATGTGTGTGTGTAAATGTGTGTGTAAATGTGTGTGTGTAAATGTGTGTGTGTAAATGTGTGTGTAAATGTGTGTGTGTAAATGTGTGTGGTAAATGTGTGTGTGTAAATGTGTGTGTAAATGTGTGTGTAAATGTGTGTGTAAAAATGTGTGTGTAAATGTGTGTGTAAATGTGTGTGTGTAAATGTGTGTGTAAATGTGTGTGTCGTATTCTCCAGCAGCTTCATAAATCTGTCCCATCACCAAATCTTATTAACTATCAAGAGAAGAAAGAGCAAAACTTAAAGGAAACAATGAGACACATGAGTCACACAACAAACTCAACTCATGTTCTGATCCTGAAGAAAACAGAAGGAACTTGTTCACTCAGATTTCATGATGTGGATTTATTAGTATTTGATTTACGGCTCTCTGCTGACACCAAGTGGCTGGACATGAGATTACAAATATTTTTATTACATCACTGATAATATATGAATATTAAAGAGCCACGTACAGACAGTGTTGGGGAGTAATAGATTACATGTACCGGAGTTATGTAATCAGAGTACAAATGATGAGTAACTGTATTCAGTTACAGTTACTGTTTCAGTGAGTGGTAATTGGATTACAGTTACTTTGTTGAAATAAATGGATTACACAGAGGGATTTTTGTGTTTTCACATTTTGGGCTATTCCCTTTTTTATTTTTTTATTTCAGTAATTCCACTCATTGCCAGAAACCCAAACAGGACGTGACAATAAAAGCCACGTAAACATCTTGTTCATGTTGGTGGCGTCAGTCACACAGTGGACGAGGTCGTTACTAATCGTCGTTGTTAATAATCTGATTCGGCATCATTTTGAGTAAAAAATATCAAATATCACTGATTTTTATTGGGCTGGCGCCTTTATGTTTGTACTGAAAGTTATTATTATTTTTAATAAATAATGAGACACTAACAGTAGATGGACATAATTTAAGGCGGCAGTGATCTCATATAAAAATCATTTTTCTATCAATAATATTTTTAATATGGTTTAGGAAAAACTGGGCTTTTTATTCTATTTTAGCAGATAAAACATGTTCAGATCCTCTGACTATTTTTAGAAGATAATGATGAACGTTTATTTTACTTTGGATTTACTTTGAATGTTACTGGTGAAATGTTTTTTGTTAGAGTTGGTTTAATGTAAATAGTTTCTTTAATGTGAACTGTTCCTGCCTGAGGACTGCACATGGAAGGAACTTGGAGCCAAATCTGTCACAGAGCATCTTTTCTCTGAGATGAATGTTTTCTGTGCACTGTCCTTGTTTAAAATCAAATAAGATGAAAAATAAAAATAAAAAAAAGAAAGAAAGAAAAAGATGTAGCGATTTTGATACAGATTTGTGTTGAATTTTGTTCAGCAGAAACAACTAAATCAATTGTTTTTTCAAGATGTTTTTATTTGTATATTTCTGTTTACCCAAACTACAAATGTGTTAAAAATAAACCATCAGCCGTTTCAGCAGGTCTAAGAAAGTATTTTTATTATAAAAATACTTTTACTTTCCAGAAGTACTCCAGCTGAGTAACAAACTGGAGAACTTCTGGAGAACTTTCACCAGTCTGTTGGAGCGCTTCTGTTTATGTTCAGTTTTTGACCAGTGGGGGGCAGCAGTGCACGTGCCGCACCGGAAATAAAAGAAGAAGCAGATGTTTACTCGGGGATATTAATTTCAGGATTTGATTAATTATTTTTGATTAAGTTATCATTTAATCACTCTTGTTATTAGTATTATTATTTATTTATTTTTATTTTTTTGTATTAGTAAGTTGTATTTACGTTCCCACTCCTGATCAGTTGGTGGCGGTAAAACACAAACTCCACACGAAGAAGAAGATGTTAGCTCTGCCTCGGGCTAAAGCTAAAAACACTCTGATAAACTCTTGAATAAACAGAAACAAACAGTGAAAAACCGGTTAATAAACAGTGTGAGAAAATGTGGAAGAGCCGCAGACTGAGGGTTTTGGTGCAGGAGCGGCTCTGCGCGGCCGCGGAGGAGATTTTCGCGCTGTTTGAAGCGACGATAGCGGAATATGAAGAGGAAGTGCGCCGCTCCAAGAACCAGGACCAGAACCAGGACCAGGACCAGAGGACCCGGGACATCCTGGACTCTGCTCTGAGCCTGTCCATAAGTCCTGGACCCGGGCTGGACCAGGACACTGCGCGGGTTAAAGAAGATCCAGAAGAGCCGGAGGTGGAGGAGCCGGAGCTGGAGGAGCCGAGAGTGAAACAGGAGGATCACAGAGTCTCAGTGCAGGTGTGTAGAGGTCAAAAGGATTCTGTTTAGAGTCCAGACTCCAGTTTTGACCCGTGTCCCTCTGTCCCTGCAGTTTTATTTAAAACAACTAATTTGTCTCAGTTTTTATTCAAGAAATGTCCCAGGGTGGGTCGCCAACTCCCTGAAAAATAAATAAGGGACACCTCATTGGCAGGGCCGGTGTCCTGTCGATGTGGGTTTTCAGGTCCCTCCTGTAAAAGGATCACACACCTGTGAGTCTGTTTTCCCCCTGGAGGCTGCGCTGGGCCCACGTTGGTGTGTGTTTTATATTTTTAGTCATTCTGACGCGCTTACGCCCCCTGCTGTCTGACACCTTCTCCAGGAGTGTGTCCCGTGTGTCTGATCTGAAGGACGCTTCACATTTCTGCTCCTGGTTTTCGGGTCTCGAGGGCGTCTCTGATCCAGCGCAGGGGTTTGCAGCTTTAAGCACAGACGACTCTGGCACTGCTCCAGTCTGTGACGTGGGTTTGTCTCTTGCAGTGCTCAGATATAAATGATTTTCATTACAGTTGTGGTTGTATTTGGAGTAGGGATGGGCATGATTAGTCGATTAATTGATAATTGATCATTAAGAATTTCATCGATTACGTTCATTTTAATCGACAAACTGAATGTATGTTTGTGTGTGTCGTGACCAAACAGGTGTGTACATGTGTCTCTGCATCAGAAGGAGCGAGACACAAACAGTGGGTCAGTCTGTAACGAACCGAAGCACAAATGTGGATTTAACCAGGATTTGTAGAAGAAATTCCACACTTTCCGTTGCGTTGGGACAAGTGTGAGTCCATGTGCACAGTGGATAAAGCAGCACATATGTTTCTGTGTCCAGTGGGAAAAAGTTTTTCCAGGTGAGAGTCGCTCAATGTGGATGACGAGGCCCCGCCCCCCTCCCCCCGTACGCTGTCCTGGTTTTGACAAACACAAATCTGGTCACACTGACCTGTATTCACCTGAGTCATGTCTTTTAATCCAACACAAGTTGAACCACATCAGCGACACAAGAGCTGGAGTTTTATCTTCACTTAGTTTATGTAAATTAGTGATGTGGTTTTAAGTTTTGTTTCTGTGAGATTTGAACAAAACTGAATTAAACACATTATAATGTCAAACAGCTGATGTGGCTCTAGAGTCGTTATGTTTATATGTCGTAAAGTTGAATTTATTTATGCAGATTAGTAATAATGCAGATAGTAATAATAATGATGATCATTTTAATATAAAAACGTTAATGATTAATTGATAATCCATCGTTAATTCTTTCGACGATCGATTTAGAAAATTTCATTGAATGCCCGTCCCTAATTTGGAATGATCTCATCTGGAGGCTGTGTGTTTGTTTTCATCTTGAGATTGATAAATGTCTTTAAGATATTTCTAACAAACTCAACTCGACTAAGAAAATGACAGAAACATTTGGCACATTTCTGATTGAAATCTAGAAATATTCTGATTATTTTTTTCAGAAGTCAATATATTAATGTTTGTCAATCTTCCTCAGATCTCCATGGGCGTCTCAGAGTCCAGTGCCGCCTTTGTGAAGACCGAAGAGTCTCCGCTGCTTCAACAGAGACAAACTGAGCCCAGCGAGGACACACAGGGAGAGGACGTCAGGGCAGAGCTTCATTCACCCTCAGAGCATCTCAGAACCTTTAACATGGACTATGACGAAGACTGGACCGCTCCACTCAGATGTTCAGCTCCACAGATGAAGACAGAGGCTGATGGAGACTTCCACGACCTCCACAACCTCCACCACCTCCACCAACCAACCCCAGATCAGAGCCGGAAGGAGCACTGCACAAACCTCACATCCACCCCCCAGATACCAGCCTGCACCAGAGACCAGAACCACTGAGAACTCTGGAGACACTTCAGGAGACACTTCAGGAGACACGGCAGGAAACGCTTCAGGAGACATGTTAGGAGACACGTTAGGAGACACGTTAGGAGACATGTTAGGAGACACTTCAGGAGCGGCCGAAGGAGCTGAGGCCAAGAAAAACGAGTGCCCTGTGTGTAAGAAGAGGTTTGGGTCTGTGTGGTTTTTACGGAGACACTTCAGAGTTCACACGGGAGAGAGACCATTCGGCTGTTCAAAGTGTAAGAAAACATTTTCTCAGAAGTATAATCTGCACGTGCACCTCAGGGTGCACACGGGAGAAAAACCTTACAGGTGCTCGATCTGTTCGCAGAGGTTTGCTCAAAAAGCTGCGCTGATTAAACACAGACAGAAACACACCTGGGAAAACTCCTACAGCTGTTCATAGACTGATCTGAACAAACGTGAGAACAAACAAAGGCTAGGAGCTTTCAGCTGCTGCATCTGTTATGAAGGGTTTATAAAGGCTCTGCAACTGTTTTTAAGCATTTATAAATGGTGTACATCTGTTATAACGTGTTTATAAAGGGTGTACATCTGTTTATAAATGGTTTATAAAGGATGTACGTCTGTTATAAAGGGTTTGCCCAAGAGTAATTTAAAAAAAAAACACACACGACCGCTCAAAAGTGTGACTGAAGGATTATTGGTTGTGTTCATGAGATGTTTTAAAGCTGCACTTTTAACTTTTCTGGTGGAGGGTCTGTCACCTGCTTGTTTCTATGGATACATCACTGCTCTGCCTGGAATGTTCCACAGTGTGACATTAATTAAACAGCTCTACTTTACATTTATTCCATTACAGGTGGATTAAGAGCTCAAAAATACCTAGAAAAACAAACATTCTAACTGTGAGCGGGGTCACCTCTCCACAGATCTGACCTGGAACTTGGTAGAGGTCTCCACGAATATAGAAAGGAAAAGCGTTTGATGGACTCTCCACCACAAAAGTGACACAATGCAGCTTTTAAAGAGCCTAGAATTATGTGTTGGAGTTTGTAGAAGTTTGAAGCTGCTGTCTGAACCAAAGTGTTGAAGATTCTGCTGCTGCGCTCCACCTCTGTGTAACTCACAAGTGTCAAATCACTTCGGACTATTTATATTTATTATAAAGAGTTAAATTTGCTTTTAGTTATTTTCAAAACTTCTGAAGTGTGTGCTCAGGTTCCACATGCAGTGTTATAAAGATGTAACTGAATGAAACGTTTGTGATTGTTTAAAATGATATAAAATGCATTTGTATCACAGTGCAGGCGGCAGGTGCGAGGCAGGTGAGGCTTGCTCTTTGCCCTAGAATGTGTTAAAGTTGAAGTAGATCTCTGTAAGAACATCTTGCTTATTAAAACTGTAGAAAAACACGCGTTTGTGGACGATATATTTAGAGGTTTTGCTTTGAATAAAAATGTTTTGTGAGTGTAAAGGTCTGAAGATTTACGTTCACGTTTATTTATTTACATGTTGATCTCTCCGTCGTCCAGGCGGGATCCACGACAACGGAGAAATTCAATTCTGTCACTGGACAAAAGGTTTTGATCGAAAGTTTTTTCTCAGTTCATCCAAGCTGCTTCTTCAGTTCTGGTCAGTCGCTGGTGGACACTTCCTTATATCTGCCTTAAGGAGGAGCTAACTACACTGAAACTACTCTGAAACTAACACACACACTTATGTTATTAGGTTCGTTTTTCAGACCAAGAGTTTGTTTTTCATACCTAACAGTTTGTTCTGCTCCCTGCTCCTCTTCCTCTTCGTCTCGTGATGTTTCTGTGTCGTGTCGCTCAGTTGATTTAAACAGGTTTTGTCTCCGTCTTCCTCCGCAGCGCCACCTGCAGTCCCACTTCCTCAGGGCAGAATCCCACGTGTGTGAGAGTAAAAAAGCCCCCTCACCCTGGTTTATCTTCCTGTGGGCATGTTTGTGTATTTCGATTGCCTCTTTAATCCAGTGGTGATGTTTGCCCCGTCCCCGTCCAGAATCTGCTTCTCTCTTTTACAGTGGCCACAGATGGACGATTTGAGTTGTTCCTGTTCTGCTTTGTGGTTTGTTGCTCGTGTTTCGCCTTCGCTGTTTCCTTCTCGCATTCTGTCCTGTGTTCCTCTTTCGTGTACTGAACGCCCTCCCTCCCTCCCGTCACAGCAACATCACGTGACACTGAGGAAGAGCGCAGGGAGCAGTCGAAACTGTCAGGTATGAAAAACAAACTCTTGGTCTGTAAAAAGACCAAATGAACCTCACTGAACTAACACACACTTGTTTGTAGCTCAGTCTGTTGAATTGCAAAGAGTGTGGACTGTGCCTGAGTCCCGAACAGAATCCTTCACCCTTCGTCCCTGGTGGAGCTCTCACATCTCTGGACCCGACTCGTCTCTGTTGTTTTCTTTGTTGTGGTTTAGGTCTGGGGGTGGGGTTGTAAATAGGAGACAGATGAATGTCTGAGGCCTCCATTTCTGTTCAAGGATGAATTGTTTTTCTTAACAAAAACAGCCTCTTTAACTTCTCAAAAGTTTCCTTTCTTTGGCTCAGATCCGTCCCTTACGATGCTCAAAGGAGTGTCCAGAGGTTTTTAGGTGGAGGTGAACAGCAGACATTATAGAAAAAATAGAATGACAAATAGAAGGACCATAAGGCCAATAAGAGATGATTAGAATTTTGTCTTCAGTCGTTTTTGTGTGTGTGTTTCTGTGTGTTTGTGTGTGTGTGATGAGAGACACCAGGAGCCGCCCTGCTCAGACTTTAGCAGATTTCAGGAGCCTGGAGGACCTGGAGGACCTGGAGGACTCAGTGTAGAGAACATGAGGTTTTATTAAACTCTGGATTAAAAAACAAACTGTTAGAAGCAGCAGCAACACAACAAAGATCAAACACAAGACTCTTCTGTACAACATTCAGTCAGAGTCACTACAGTGTCACAGTACTCTACTGTACTAGTACTACAGTACTACAGTACTCTACTGTACTAGTACTACAGTATTGTAGTACTGTAGTATTGTAGTACTGTGGTGTGACTTTGTGCTTAGGCCAGTGCTTTCCTACATCACCTCTAGAGTCTGAGCCTGAACTCTCCTCAGACACATGAACATAGTACTGCAGTACTGCAGTACTCAGTATTTAGTACTTCAATTAACACTAATACAACTATTAGATTCACGTCCAAATGCAGCTCAAAGTGAAAATGAACACGTCACACAGCTCCAGAACACGAGCGTCAGGCTGCAAACTCACGTACTCCACATCAAGTACTCTGCTCTGTGTAGTACTCCACATGAAGTACTCTGCTCTGTGTAGTACTCCACATGAAGTACTCTGCTCTGTGTAGTACTCCACATGAAGTACTCTGCTCTGTGTAGTACTCCACATGAAGTACTCTGCTCTGTGTAGTACTCTACATGAAGTACTCTGCTCTGTGCAGTACCAGTGTAATACTCCATATGAAGTACAGCTCCAGTGTAGTACAGTGTGGTCGTCCTCTCAGGGTGGAGCCGTCCCTGTCACATGGACCTGAGGCCCAGGACGACCTGAGGACCTGAGGCCCGGGGGGGTTGGGGGTCGGGGAGGGGGGGTTGGGGGTTGGGGGGGGGGTCGGTTGTCAGGGTGAGGGGGTTGGGGGTTGGGGGGGGGGCAGTACAAACATCAGGACCAAACTCACCTTGAGGAAAAGCTGCAAAAGCTGCAGGTAAAAGGTCATTACTGTCACACAGGACAAGGTAAAGTAGTAATTCACGGTAAACATAGGTGCTCCCCTGACCCCTCCCCCTGATCCTGACCCCGACTCCTCCCCCTGCCTCCCGCTCCCCGTTCAGAGCACACGAGGTTCACTCGTCCTGAGAGGAGGCTCAGACCTGTGGAGTCGTTTCCTCCACTCGAGTTTTTCGAGTCTGTTCTTTATAAAAAAAGAGTCTGACGAGCTTCAGTCTGAGTCACTGGTGTCTGATGAAGACGACGCCGAGGACGAGGATGAAGAGTCTGAGCTGGAGCTGCTGCCGCTGAGGCGAGCGGGCTGTGGCTCCGGGTCCCCTGCACCGCTCTTCTCCGCTGTACACACACACACAGACACACAGGGTCAGGGTTAGGAGGCACACAGTGACGTGGCTCCCTCCAAACAGAACACACATTAGGCTTTAATAAAACAGTACAACAGTGTGTTTGTTTGTGTGTGTGTGTGTGTTTGTGTGTATTTGTGTGTGAGATGGTGATACATGTCAAACACCAGACACACATCAGGCCTGAAGGAATCACTTCCTGCAGAGGTCCTCAAAAGTAACTGGTGAAGAGTTAGAGCTCTGAAGGACGAGAAGAGTCTGATCCTCTGTACACACACTCACAACACACACACACACACACACACACACACACACAACACACACACACACAGAGAACACACCCACACTTACACACACACACACACACACACACAGAACACACACACACACACACAAAGTAGTGTTGTTGTAGTGCAGTAGTGTTGTAGTAGTATTGTAGTAACGCTGTAGTAGTGTTGTAGTAGTATTGTAGTAGTATTGTAGTAGTGTAGTAGTATTGTAGTAGTGTAGTAGTATTGTAGTGGTGTTGTAGTGGTGTTGTAGTAGTATTGAAGTAGTATTGTAGTAGTGCTATAGTATTGCTGTAGTGATTGTTATATGTGTAGTAGTACTGTAGTACTGCTGTAGTACTGCTGTAGTAGCGCTGTAGGTGTTTGGGCTCTTGTACCTTGGTTCTTCGAGGGTTTCTTGACGATGTTGAGTTGTCCGCTGACGTCCTGCAGTCGACGCTCCAGCTCTCGCCTTTTCTCCAGAGTCAGCTCCTCTTTAGATTTGCCCAGACTGGAGCTTTTGCCTGAAAAAGGTTGATTTGAATTTTAATCACAGAACTCATCAAAACCGAGTCTACGTATCAGCCCAAAAATATCATCCACTGGTTTCTTTTCATTCTCTTTTAATTCCCCGTCGACACATGAACCACAGGACAAATCCTCCAGCTGAGACAGACTGTTCTGATTGAGACGAGCTCCAGATCTGAGATGGTCCTGCTGCTCCTGCCCCAGTCACACTGAAGGACGGGTCAAATGCACCTCCACGCACCTGTGGACCTGAATCTAAGCTGCAGGTCTGAGAATAAATCATGAGCTTATAATAACATGTTTAGTCGTACTTTTCTGTAAATAAAAAAACTTTTTCATGTTTTAAGAACACTGCTCTGTAGTTGTAGTTAATTACTCAGTGCTCAGGGCACATGTGTAGTACCTGTGTGTGTGTGTGTGTGTGGTGGTACCTGTGTGTGTGTGTGTGTGTGTGTGTGTTACCTGTGTGTGTGTGTGTTACCTGTGTGTGTGTGTGTGTACCTGTGTGTGTGTGGTACCTGTGTGTGTGTGTGTGGGTACCTGTGTGTGTGTGGTGGTACCTGTGTGTGTGTGTGTGGTACCTGTGTGTGTGTGGTGTGTGTGTGTGTGGTACCTGTGTGTGTGTGTGTGTGTGTGTGTGACCTGTGTGTGTGTGTGTGTGTGGTACCTGTGTGTGTGTGTGTACCTGTGTGTGTGTGGTACCTGTGTGTGTGTGTGTGGTACCTGTGTGTGTGTGTGTGTGGTACCTGTGTGTGTGTGTGCGGTACCTGTGTGTGTGGTACCTGTGTGTGTGTGTGTGTGTGTGTGGTACCTGTGTGTGTGTGTGTACCTGTGTGTGTGACCTGTGTGTGTGTGTGTGTACCTGTGTGTGTGTGTGTGTACCTGTGTGTGTGTGTGTGTGTGTGTGTGTACCTGTGTGTGTGTGTGTGTGTGTACCTGTGTGTGTGTGTGTGTGTGTGTTACCTGTGTGTGTGTGTGTGTGTGTGTGTGTACCTGTGTGTGTGTGTGTGTGTGTGTTACCTGTGTGTGTGTGTGTGTGTGTGTGGTACCTGTGTGTGTGTGTGTGTGGTACCTGTGTGTGTGTGTGTGTGGGGCCTGTGTGTGTGTGTGGACCTGTGTGTGTGTGTGTGTGTGTGTGTGTGTGTGTGGTACCTGTGTGTGTGTGTGGTACCTGTGTGTGTGTGTGTGTGTGTGTGTGTGGTACCTGTGTGTGTGTGTGTGTGTGTGTGTGTGTACCTGTGTGTGTGTGTGTGTGACCTGTGTGTGTGTGTGTGTGTGTACCTGTGTGTGTGTGTGTGTACCTGTGTGTGTGTGTGTGTGTGTACCTGTGTGTGTGTGTGTGTGTGGTACCTGTGTGTGTGTGTGTGTGTGTGTGTGTGTGTGTGTGTGTGTGTACCTGTGTGTGTGTGTGTGTGTGTGTGTGTACCTGTGTGTGTGGTGTGTGTGTGTGTGTGTGTGTGTACCTGTGTGTGTGTGTGTGTACCTGTGTGTGTGTGTGGTACCTGTGTGTGTGTGTGTGTGGTACCTGTGTGTGTGTGTGTGTGTGTGTGGTACCTGTGTGTGTGTGTGTGTGTGTGTGTGTGTGTGGTACCTGTGTGTGTGTGTGTGTGTGTGTGTGGTACCTGTGTGTGTGTGTGTGTGGTACCTGTGTGTGTGTGTGGTACCTGTGTGTGTGTGTGGTACCTGTGTGTGTGTACCTGTGTGTGTGTGTGTGTGTGTGTGTGTGTACCTGTGTGTGTGTGTGGTACCTGTGTGTGTGTGTGGTACCTGTGTGTGTGTGTGTGTGTACCTGTGTGTGTGTGTGTACCTGTGTGTGTGTGTGTGTGTGTGTGTGTGTGTGGTACCTGTGTGTGTGTGGTACCTGTGTGTGTGTGTGTGTGTGTGGTACCTGTGTGTGTGTTACGTGTGTGTGTGTGTGTGTGTGTGTGGTACCTGTGTGTGTGTGTGTGTGTGTGTGTGTGTGTGTGTACCTGTGTGTGTGTGTGGTGTGTGTGTGTGTGGTGCCTGTGTGTGTGTGTGTGTGTGTGTGTGTGTGTGTGTGGTACCTGTGTGTGTGTGTGTGTGTGTGTGTGTACCTGTGTGTGTGTGTGTGTGTGTGTGTGTACCTGTGTGTGTGTGTGTGTGTGTGTACCCGTGTGTGTGTGTGTGTGTACCTGTGTGTGTGTGTGTACCTGTGTGTGTGTGTGTGTGTGTGTGTGTGTACCTGTGTGTGTGTGTGTACCTGTGTGTGTGTGTGTGTGTGTGTGTGTGTACCTGTGTGTGTGTGTGTGTGTGTACCTGTGTGTGTGTGTGTGTACCCGTGTGTGTGTGTGTGTGTGTGTGTGTGTGTACCTGTGTGTGTGTGGTACCTGTGTGTGTGTGTACCTGTGTGTGTGTGTGTGTGTGTGTGTGTGTGTGTGTGTGTGTGTGTGTGTGTGTGTGTGTGTGTACCTGTGTGTGTGTGTGTGTGTGTGTGTGTACCTGTGTGTGTGGTACCGTGTGTGTGTGTACCTGTGTGTGTGTGTGTGTGTGTGTGTGTGTGTGTGTGTGTGTGTGTGTACCTGTGTGTGTGTGTGTGTGTGTACCCGTGTGTGTGTACCTGTGTGTGCGGTACCTGTGTGGTGCGAGAGCTTGCGCGGTCTCTTCCTCAGGCAGGACAGCACGTATCGCTCGAGCTCCTTGAGGGTGGAGGGTTTGAGCGTTTCGAAGTCGATCTCGATCTCCTCGGGGTTGGTGTCCCTCAGGGCCGGTTCTCGGCTCTGGATGATGTGGACCACGCGGCCGAGCTTCTCCCCGGGCAGTTTGTTGATGTCCAGGCTGAGCTGTCTCTTCTCGTCGTAGGTCATGGGCACCAGGTCCTCCTCCTCCTCCGAGTCGTAGTGTGGCAGCACGGGCGAGGGCAGCACGGGCGGGTACAGAGGCTTTTTGGAGACGCTTCTGGAAGAACACGTGGAAGACACTCTGGATTACACTTGGACACGAGGGATGCAACGAAATGGTTTTGACACGATTAGATACGAGTCATGATATCGATTCGATTTCGATTACATTTTTTTTGTGTGTCTCTTTTAAATGTAATGAGTAAAATATAATAACACTATGATGTTAATGAAACACTACAGACTTTACACAGAGACACTAAAGCACAACAACTGTACAGCTGCAGTTTATATGGGAAGTGTTTTTGTTCATTTGGTTTTGTGATTTACAGCTCAGAATTTTGATCCAGTGAAAATAAGAACAGAGTTTCTCAGGCTATTTTATATTTTATAATAAATAAATAAACTTCCTCCTGAGTCTCACTGCGGTCACACGCCTCATGCTGCGCTGACGCTGCTCTGCCCTCCAGCAGAGACAGTACGTAGCTCCGCCCACACTGCCCTGCTACAGTCAGTGACACACTGAGCTTTCATCTTCTTTCTGAACACTCAAACTGTTATATCACACAAAAATGTCTCAACAGACGTTTTCAGAGTAAAACTTATGAGACACAGACAGAGTCTGAGTTTATTGTGAGTCATGTCACGGCTCCCCTCAGTCTTCAGTTTTTACCGCAGGGTAAAAAGTGCCCAATTCAATATATTTGTACTGAGCAAAGACACATTTTGCTCAAATATACGGGAAAAATCGAGTCCTGGAGTCAGCTCCCATTGGGCACCACAGTTTTCAAATGGATATAAAGTTGGTTTAAATAAATATAATGTTTTAAAATGTCCATATTATAACATAACATGTCCAGAGATCCGAACGTAAACACGTTCAAATCAAATTAAGCTTTTACTAATAACAATTCTAATGCAGATTCATTCTTATTTATTATGCACTTTTCACACCTTTCAGAGACAAGACTGGACGGCCAAACTCTGCCGAGTTCTCTGAAAGATGTAAAAAACACTTATGAACTCATCAGTGTGAATAATTAGGAAGCTCAGAATGTTCAAGTGAGGAAGAACTTTGAACCACTGACATTTTTTTTAATTAACTAAAAATCATGTAGAGTAGCTCTAGTAAGTCTATTTTAAATGTTTATGAAATTCCTTGCTGTGATTTTTCCTCTAAAACTTTCCTCACATGCATAGTGCTGTACTCACTTGGTGCGGCTCTTCTTGGGGGGGGGCCTGTGGCTCTGGGGGCCCCTCGCAGACCTGCTCTTCTTACTGGGCAGTTTCCACTCCTCTGATCCGGCCCTGCTGCGGCCCCCCCGGCCCCTCTTGCCTTTCTTCTTCTTCTTCTTGTCGCGTTTCTCCTTCTTCTCTCGTCTCCTCTTGGGTTTGACCACGGGCCCCTGGGACAGAGCGGCGAGCTGCTCGTGCACGGCCCTCAGCTGGGGACGCACACAAAAATAAATAAATAAACGGACACAGAGGACCCGCTCATCATCGTGCTCCGAAACAGGAAGTGAGCGTGGACGCGCTTAGGGCTCCATCGACTCCAGTTCACTTTGAAAAAACATCGCCGGTCATTTGGTCTTATAATGTTCTTATTAACCCACTCTACAAGATCCTGGGGTTTTTATTTTGTTATTTTGTCCGTAAATCAATTCCTGTTCTTAATATGGACGTCTGTTCCTATAACCGCAGGCCTCAGTGAGCTTCATTTGACTGGAGCTGGAGGCTGTGGGGGACGTCACACTCGCTCAGTCCACTTCTTCATACAGTCTATGGACAGATCGTGGGGATGGGCCGATATGAATTTTTCGAGCTGATACTGATAACCAATATTTGTCCAGTTGCTGTGATTGATAAACAATATTTACTGATTCCAATACAGTGTTTCCCGCAGCGTTTCACAGTTATGGCGGTTTTACAGGTTTAGGTTTTATAGTTAGAGTTAGAGTGCTTGGGTAAACAAAAGTAATAAAAATAAATTCAGATACTTGAGCATTTGTTGTTACTAAAGTCCAGTGTTGGGGAGTAACAGATTACATGTACCAGAGTTAAGCAGTCAGAGTACAAATGATGAGTAACTGTATTCAGTTACAGTTACTGTTTAAGTGAGTGGTAATTGGATTACAGTTACTTTGTTGAAGTAAATGGATTACACGGCGGGATTTTCCTGTTTGCACATTTCGGGCTAAACCCCCTTTTTTTTTTCAGTAATTCCACTCATTGCCGGACACTAAACCAGGTCCAAACCAGGACTAAACCAGGACTAAACATGGATTAAACCAGGTCTAAACTGGGACTAAACCAGGACTTAAACCAGGACTAAAACAGGTCTAAAACCAGGTCTAAAACCAGGACTAAAACAGGATTTAACAAGACTAAATCATGCCGCATGGACTGTGTTAGCTCATCTTCTATCAATAATATTTTTAATCTGGTTCAGTAAAGTTTGGGCTTTTTTATTTTCTTTTAGCAGATAAAACTTCTTACGTTGCGATTTCCTCGTCTTTGCTTCTCTACAGCAAATCAAGTAATCCAAAACAAGTTCATTTTGGTTTGAAATGGTACAAAGTTAAAATGATTTTTTGTAAAAAGTTGCCATATTTTCCGCACTATTAGTCTCTCTGGATTATAAAACGCACTGTTATTAAATGGTCTATTTTCAAACTTTTTTCACAAATAAACCTCGTGGGACTTTAAAGGAAACCCAACAGTGTGATGGGTGAGTGGTTTTGTTTGTTTGTTCGTTCACGGTGACTCTGGGCTTTGTTCAGTTGTGGCGTGTAGGGAGGGTGTGTCTGGGACCAGCGGATTGTCAGCGTGTTCGCAGTGACTCAGTTGTTCAGTCGTGTCTAGAAGCAGCACATTGGACTCGCTTTATCGGTTCGTTCGTCCGTTCCTCGTCGGCGTGGAGTGATGAGTGTGTCTGTGGGTGTGTTTCGCTGTGCGGTCGCTGTCTGCTCCGTGTGTGTTTGTAGTTTACTGAAGTCGTGCTGGGACACCTGTGGATTCGTGTATGAGGCGCTCTGGATTGTGGCGCGCTGTCGTTTTTTGATGCGGTTACAGATTTAAGAGCGCGTCTAATAGCCCGGAAAATACGGTATTATAATTCATATGGGAAAAATATGATGGCATCCTGTGCAAAATAAAAACACAAGTTGTGTTACAGCTATGTATTAGTAATTTCATTTGGTTTGGTACCATTATTATCACAGCTGAAGGTGGATCACGTGCGCCCTCATAGGCTCAAAGGTGCGAGGTATCTTTTTATTTTATATTTGAAAATACACCAATTGCACAGTACTTCCGTGTATGTGTCTAACTGTATGTTTTATTTGTCCTGTAGTTTTCGCAGCGTTTCATGACACTTGTTAACACTAATAAAAGAGCCAGAACTTGAGAACCGTGTGCAGTGTTTTCAACGACCAACAGCTACAGAACCTGCACTACCGTTCAAAAGTTTGGGGTCACCCAGACAATTTTGTGTTTTCCATGAAAAGTCACACTTTTATTTACCACCATGAGTTGTAAAATGAACAGAAAATATAGTCAAGACATTGACAAGGTTAGAAATAATGATTTGTATTTGAAATAATAATTTTTTTTCCTTCAAACTTTGCTTTCGTCAAAGAATCCTCAATTTGCAGCAATTACAGCACTGCAGACCTTTGGCATTCTAGCTGTTCATTTATTGAGGTAATCTGGAGAAATTTCACCCCACGCTTCAAGAATCTCCTCCCACAAGTTGGACTGACTGGATGGGCACTTCTTGCCCACTTCTTTTTCTACTCTGGTTAGAGCCTTTTTGTGCTGTTCTCTGAAGGGAGTAGTTCACACCGCTGTAGGAAATCTTCAGTTTCTTGGTAATTTCTCACATGGAATAGTTTCATTTCTAAGAACAAGAATAGACTGTCGAGTTTCACATGAAAGTTCTTCTTTTTCTGGCCATTTTGAGTGTTTAATTGACCCCACAAATGTGATGCTCCAGATACTCAACCTGCTCAAAGAAAGGTCAGTTTTATAGCTTTTCTAACCAGCTAAACTGTTTTCACCTGTTCCAACATGATGCACAATGGTTTTCTAATCATCCTTCAGACACAATGAACAAACACATTGTACCATTAAAACACTGGAGTGACAGTTGCTGGAAATGGGCCTCTACACACCTATGTAGATATTGCACCAAAAACAGACATTTGCAACTAGAAAAGTCATTTACCACATGAGCAATGTATAGAGTGTATTTCTGATTAGTTTAAAGTCACCTTCATTGAAGAAAACAGTGCTTTTCTTTCAAAAATAAGGACATTTCTAAGTGACCCTAAACTTTTGAACAGTAGTGTACCTGGACCACTAAGGGATTACACAGATAAAAGGAGACATGGGAGCAGAAAAGAAAGTTCTACGGTTTAAAGCAGAAAATTCTCCTGTGTAAAAACAGAGTGTGGGCGCTGTGTACCTGAGTGCAGACTTGGTCCTGGAGCTGCGCCAGCCTCTGGGCCCGCTCCTCCTCACTGTCCTCACTGGGGCTGCTCTCGCTCTCCTCCGTCTCTGTGCTGGGCTCGCTCTCCGAGGAAGAGGAGGAGGAAGAGGAGGAGGAGGAGGAAGAGGAGGAGGGCGGGGCGCTCAGGGAGGTGGCGGTGGACTCCAGCGCCGGCTCGTCTGGGATCTTAGCAAAGCCGAACTCAAACACGTCCTAAACACACACCGGTTTAGACGTCAGAGCTAAAATACAACATGTACCAGTGAAATCCACAAAGACCAATCATCGACTATTTCAGGTCAAAAAGGAGGACTCAATTTAATCAGAGATACACCAAAAACAAAAAACTACTGGATCAGGGATTGTTTCCAGAACAGATGTGATCCTGTATCCCATTAAAGACAAAAATGTGAAGTAATTAGTTCGATGTTTTGGTCAGATATTGGCCTTGAACAGATTTTACAGAACAGTTACGTAACACAGTTGGGTCCGTTTTGGAGATATTAAGTGTGTTTATGTTGAGCGCTCTATGGAAGGTTTTGGAGATGCTGTTTTGTTTAGAATATTCCACAAATTGGCATAAACTTTGGCTCCATCTCCATGAAGACAAAAGGTGACTCCATCAAACAAAATACTGTTTGACAATAAAAATGTTTTTCATATCATAAATGGAAGACGGACACATTTCCAGGCAAAGCAAAAGCATTTTAATAGTTTAATGAGTACGTGGCAGTAGCTTGATTCATCAGCCGGTTTCACTTGGTGGAAACCGTGTGACCTCGCAGCATTAGGATTTGTTCGCTCGACAGTAGGCGGGGACTTTTTGTCATTTAACCAAACTCTGTTATTTGGTCCTGACGTATGTAATGCGCCGCTAATAGACTAACTGGTAAATTAAGTTTTCCTAAATCCTGTAGGAAGAAGAACAATAATGTCTTTCCCCTTGATTAAATTCACCAAATATTCTCTTTGTTCTGGTTTTAAATCCTCGATCTCGGGAATCGTTGACAACACTGAATGTCTGTCTTTTCTCTGGTTGTCTGGTGCCTGAACTCACACTTCTGGGGTTTTTGCGACCCGTCTAGTGTATTCTGATTCCTGATCTAGTCGCTGGAGAGAAATTAAATAGAGCGGAGGCACGAGGTGGATGCAGCCTGGCTACGTGGCAGGCCCTCCATCAGAAAATGTAAAACCAAAGACTCAGTATCAATCCACTTTCTTGAGTTCCAATACTATTGATACTAAGTTCAGACATTATGCACCAGCCAACGGTCCTTCTGAGAACAGACCACATCAGGTGTTCCCAAGGTGTTACTTGAACTAAGCCATATGAGATAATGTATTTATGTATCATGGAAAAGAATCATTCCCACAGAGAAAGGGGGACCCAGCGAGGACAGAAAATCAGCTGTTTGTCATTTGTCTTCAAAACTATCCAGTCTGCAGACGTATGTGTACATATATGTGTCTATGTACATGTATCTGTTCAAAGTGTCATATTTGTAGTGTGAGGTTTGTGGAGGGGGTCGGGGGTCAGGGGTCGGGGGGTGTACAGATCTGACCTGCAGCTTTCGGGCCATGGCCACCACGTCGTGTCCGGGGGGGTTGTACTTGTAACAGTTGGAGAACATGAGTCTGACGTCACTGGCAAACTGCTGAGCGTCACTGTACTCACGGCAATCCATCTTCCTCTGCACGCAAACACAAACACAAGAACAAGCTCAGGTCAGGAACCAACCAGTGAAGCACATGACGAGCTCTGTTCACAAACAAGAGTTTAAATCACCATTTAAGACCAACTTAAAATGTCACTGTGCCAGCAGGAGGCGCTATTAACGGTTTAACTGTTATAAAGAGTCTGTGTATTATTCACTCAGAGATGATCCAAAGGTTAGGTTTGACTCAGAGTCACTGTTCTGTTTGTGTCCCTGGCCCCTCCTGTTTCTCAGTGGGAGTAAACAGTCTGAGCATCAGTCGGCTGTGAGTCTCGTGATGTGCAGATTACATCATCAGTAGTAAATATCTGTAAGAGCAGAATGTTTGTACCTCGATGGTGTGAGTCTGTTACAGGATAAAGAAACAGCAGAACAGACTCCTCCAAGCCTCTGAGTCTCTGTGTGTACCCTGTTGGTGTGAGTCTGTGTGTACCCTGCTGGTGTGAGTGTGTGTGTACCCTGCTGGTGTGAGTGTGTGTGTACCCTGCCGGTGTGAGTGTGTGTGTACCCTGCCGGTGTGAGTGAGTGTGTACCCTGCTGGTGTGAGTGTGTGTGTACCCTGCTGGTGTGAGTGTGTGTACCCTGCTGGTGTGAGTGAGTGTGTA